ACCCTTGATCCAGTCCACTGTCGGCTGCAGATTGTCCTCGATGCTGAGGCCAAGCACTTGGGGACGTGACACAATCACCTTGGCAACCTGTGTCTGGCTCAGGCCCAAACCTTTGATCCAGTCCACTGTCGGTTGCAGATTGTCCTCAATGCTGTAGCCAAACACTTGGGGACGTGACACAATCACCTTGGCAACCTGAATCTGGTTCAGGCCCAAACCCTTGATCCAGTCCACTGTCGGCTTCATGGTGTCCTCAATGCTGTAGCCAAGCACTTTCGGAAATCTCGCGACCACCTTGGCAACCTGCCCTCCAGTCAGCAACAGCTCATTTTGGAGAAAATCTTGCTTCTCCAATCTGCTGCTGTTGGACGCACCGACCAACTCCGCATCCTGTGCGAAGACGCTTGCACCCTTGTCGAGCGATGTAGCTGCAAAAGCCTTCAAGCGCGAGGCTACTCTGTGCTGCAGCTGCCCACGACACCGGTCCAAGAGAGATGTCGCGACCTGCTGCAGAGACCTAAGCAGCGAAGAAGCGTGCTCGGCATGCCAGCAATCCACCAGAATTTGCACAGACTTGTCCTTCCACTCTCGCGGCTCGTGAGCGATGCGGACAACCAGAGATCCTGTGGGAGTGAACCGCCGCAGAGCACGGGTCTTGCGCATGTCCCTGGCTAGGCCAGGTGGCTCCATGTGGCGATAGTAGCCATCGTACTCGATGAAGAGTGCCGCACCGGTTGCTTTTAGCACACCGTGCGCTGCCAAATCCGGACACAACTTCCTTGCACCCCAGTCGCCATGTGGCCGGCATGGAAAATCCCGAAAAGCTTCGCCAATTGGCTCGCCTGGCATCAGCAGAACTGCCAGCTGTGAGAGGAGCTCCGCCTCAGCCTTGCTTGCCAAGATTTTCCGGGGTCGGCCGCCTGCCCACCAGAGGGGCGGCACGGAGGCCGGCAAGGCTGCTGCGAGTATCAGACAGAAAAAGCACAAGATGCAGCCTCGGAACCGCCTTCTCTGGAAATAACGTCGCATGTTCCCATTCAGGTATGGCAGCAACGGACAAAACTTGCAGAAGCCTGCAAAGACTCCACCTTGAGGCTCAGCCGAGATGGGAAGTAGCGACAAATTCACCCTCAGTCTGGATCGGAAGCTTTTTGGGGGGGGCTCAGGTTTTGTGCTACATGTTTCGGGAGTCGTGGCGGTAAGCTCCCGAACCCCGGGCCTGCACTTGCGGTTGAGGGTGTCGGGCGACCCAGGCCTGAAACCCAGGAGCCCAGCAATCCACGTGATAGGTCTCCAGGGCCCTGAATCCTAGGAGGACTTTCGGAGTTCCAGAACTTCCGGGACTTTCGATGCGAGGCATTGGGGTTCTACTGCAGAAAGACGTCAAGGGAGGAATCCGAAACCGGGAGCTTCTTTCCTCAGCCGCCTTCACTGTCAGAGCTCGCGCTTTGGCGAGCGACGTCCGCCTCCACCGGGCGGGCAAGAGCCTGGCAACGACCATATATGCAGCTCGCTTTTGGTTGAGCTTCGGAGATTTCGGGGTTGAGTTCTAGGATTGATGGGTTTGGGCGCTCGCTCTGGGTCGAGCGTTTTGGGTCTGCTGTCGAGTCTACTTCTTCGCAGGGTGGAGCAGATTGCGGTTGTGCGAGCGACGCTAAGAAGATGCAATGCCATTGGAGACCGTGCCCGCAGCCGCTCCCAAAACGGAGTCGAAGCGGAGATCACAGAGCAGGGTTTAGGGTTTAGGGCCGTTGGGGGTTGAGGGCATCCTTGCTTTTCTCAAAAATTGCATGTCCAGCTCCCCCGATAGAAAGTTCACAGGGCTGTGTCCTTTGGAGGAATATGACCAGTAGAATCTTCGAAGTTTCACGGCTGATGTTATAGGCTTTGTACAGCAAGTTGGCTGCAAGCCAAACATGCTCACAGTTGAGCACTGACAGGTTTTACACCTCCGTACTGAAGTCCAGACTTCAGAAGAATGATTCTAGAGTAGCCTTGCGAAGAATGTCCACAAGGTTGCCGAACCGAGGATGCAAGCCCTCGCCCTTACCACGCTCCAACCGACTTTCATGCAGAGTAGTAGACATGAAGGGGCACTTGATACAGGTAACACCAAAAGAGGAGAGGCTGTCTTCCAACCAAGAAGCCGTCGTTAGCTGCTTCAGCAAGCCGACGTTGCTGCTTGACAGGTCAACGCAACGCTGAAGCTGCGCATGCCTGTTCGGAAATTCAGGTTTTGAAGCTCCGCAAAAGCCCAGGCTGTCTTTCATCCGAGCATCGGCCTGCCGCTCCAACGGTGCTGCGGTTCGGGCTGGGGTCCAGGATCTGGGACTATATACGACTACAAACGCAAAAAAACGTCAAGTCAACGAAAACACGGATCGAACCTGTAGTCCGGTTAGGAACCAGGTACGTCCACCCGGCCGAACGATAATGCACAAAAGTGCAACGATATGGCATAAACCACGAACCCTCAACGCCAGAGCCGAAACGATAAAGCTGAAACCCCTAACTCCCCAAACCATGAAAACACCTAACCACAAGCATCCTTCACTTAGTAGTGCGCGATATATCGAGGCCCTCTTCAAGGATGCCATAAACCATACCTTTACTTAGGGTACGCGTTATATTAGAGGCCCTCTTCAAGGATGCCATACGCTCCAAAAAACCTCGTAAATGGGTAGTTCTCGATTTTAGGGTCCCTTTTTAGGTCCCTAATATAGTACGGCACCCTTTTAAAAAGGACCCAAAAAGGGACCCTAATTTAGAAAACTACCCAAATCGCCGAGGCGCAGCTCGGGCTCCAAAGGCGGCGCCGGAGGCGCCGCGGGCGGCTGCAGCTTCGGAGGCTCGGCGATGGGGCCTCGTCTTTTCTCTTTAGGGTTTCTGTTAAGGGGTTTAGGGTTTAGGATTTATAGGGCTTTAGGGTTTTTCTTTTGGGTTTCTGTTAAGGGGTAAGGATATCTAGGGCTTTAGGGTTTCCCTTTAGGGGTTAGATCTCTTTCGCACGTCTGTTTAGGGGATTTTAGGGTAAGGATATATAGGGCTTTAGGGTTTCCCTTTAGGGTTCCTCTTTAGATCTCTTTCGCACGTCTTTTTAGGGGTAAGGGTATAGGAGTTTAGGGTTTCCCTTTAGGGTTTCTCTGTAGGGCTTCTGTTTCAGGTGAAGGGCTTTTCGTTTTTCTCTTTAGATCTCTTTCGGACGTCTGTTTAGGGGTAAGGACGTAGGAGTTTAGGGTTTCCGTTTAGGGAGTTTAAGGTTTCTGTTTAGGGCTTCCGTTTCAGGTTTACGGCTTTAGGCCTTGAGGGTTTCGGGCTTCGGTCTGCACTCTGTGCTTCAAGAGATCACCAGCTTCATCATGCGTTTCATCTTCTTACGGCTGCCCTTTGCTTCTAAGAGTGCTGCTTTGTCTGTGTCGGCTCTGGGAGGACAGCCTGCCTCTTGGATGATGCAAGGGACCGCTGCTTTAAGGGCTCCCGAAGAGAATCATGTGGAGTTTGGCTTAAGGGTTTTTTGGGCTGAGGGTTTCAGTGCGGGTTCCTTTGTTTACGGTTTCGGGGCCTTTCGGAACCAGCGTCATGTATACATTCAATGAAACATATCTTCATATATATATATATGAAGCTCGGTACAAAATAAAACTTCAGGCGGTTCGGGGCTTCGGGCGGGGAGGCGCCTGCGCTAGGCGCCGTGGAAAGCGACGAGCCTCGCCGGACGCCTCGAAGCTTTCGAGGGGTCGACGGTGATGACTTCAGAGCCTAGGGTTTCTGAGGGACAAACCACAACCGGGTGTAGTATGGTATATTATGGTATATTGTAATTTAGTTATCGTGTTTAATACAGTACAATATAGCAAAGTATACGATGTTATGAGTATAGAATACGGCCTTGTGGAGCCCCAAAGCTTGCGAGACAAGTGCATGGCTCCCCTGCAGCACGGTCTACCAATCAAGCCGGTCAACGTATAAGAACCTAACCAACGACCGCAGGAGATATCAAAGTCAAAGGGAATTGCAAGATAAAGCTGTAGTTGTCTCGTGGGACAGAAGTAAAAACAACCCAGCGAAAGACATGACACACTGCATGCGCCTGCCGAGGACAAACGGCGAGAGGCATCCTTCTTTGGGTTGGCGCTTTGGGGGACTCTCAGAGTTGCCTATAGCTAGGTCCAAAAATGGTTCCGGGAGGGACTAACACAGCTCAGTTTAAGGCTGTTCGCGAAGTCAGTACGGAAGCCCTTCCATAGTTTACGGGGTTGTTTACAAGTATTGAGCTGACCAGGGTGTGCAGTCAAGATTGATGGATGTCGGGGGCATGCCAAGCTCAGCCGCGGCCTCCCGTAGCTTTCTTGCTTCTGTGTTGCTCTCCGGGCTTAGAGTTTTGTATTGCGTTCAGCAAAGGGACGTTGCCGTGTAAAGTCCAGCAGAAAAGCAGTGCTCTTTTTGAGTGCCGGTGCATTGCGCTAGCTTGGACTAGGGTCCCAAAGCGCTTGCTTCCTTGTGCATGCTTCAGACTCTTACAGATGTCATCAGAATTAACCTCAGAGCCCCACGCTCTATATCTTGAACCCAATAATTCACATACTTACTTCTAGGTATCATCAGGGGATCCGGCTGCGGTTGTCATGCATGGGACCCTCGAGGCCCTGCCGAAGCAACATGCTGAAGCCCCAAGCACGGCTTCAACAGAGAGGCGTCCGAGCAATCTGAAGAGGGTCTGAGGTACATTCTTCATAGCTAGATAGGGACCACACATGCTATTGAAAGCAGTAAGAACCAGGTTCGAGAGACAATCAACATCATCCATTTTCAAAGGCTCTAAGGAAGGCTGCTACGAGGGTCTCGGGCTTGATCGAACCGAGCCCTGATCTTACGTGCTGCACATGCCCTGGAAGCGGTCCTTCTTGGAGGGCCAGGCGCTTGGTGACGCATCTGCCTGGAGCTTCCCAGAGACTTCAATATCCCTGAGTCGAACCTCTGCTTCTGAGGATGCTTGCGATTACTTTAAGGACTTCTCCTTCACGAAAGGCTGTTGGAGCCTCTGGGTTGGTCCGCTCCCGCTTCAGAAGGGATTCTGAAGAGAAAACAAGATCCTCGACGTCCCTGCATGCCCCAAAAGGAGCCCAAAAGCCGTGGATATGACATTCACGTCTTCAACTCTGACAAGAGCAGTCTCTCGGCACCTCCTTCTTGAGGAAGTCCTTGAGCTCCTCCGGGCTTAGGGGACTTTTTAGGTTCTAAGCCGCTGCTGACACGAAATTGAAAAACTGATACTATTTTCGGGAGGTCAGGTGGGCTTTGGACGCGGCTTCACGAGCATCTCAGCCCATGGGACCCTCAACCCCAAACCCAAAACGCCTAAGCCCTCAACTCTAAACCCAAAACGTCTGAACCCAACACCCAAAACGCCTAAACCCTGACACCGCAAAGAGGCAATCATCGGAGTCTCCTCGAAGCTGATAAAGCCATCTTTGGAGGTGTCGATGTCCTGGTCACCGATTTCACTGGTGTTGCGTTTCAGATTTTAAGTTTTAAGTTTGGGCTGTGGGGTTTAGGGCTCCGATCCCGGAAGTTCATGTGCATTCATGTTTAGAGCAAACTTCGGAACATTGACCTAGGTTGGCCCTTATTTTCAAGCCATTGAAACAATCTCGCAAATAAGATCCCCTAAAGCCCACAAAAGGAAAATACGTCATATCCCGGAAGGCCTACCCAGTGACAGTTCCCCACTCGCCAGGCCTTCAGATCTCCAAACCTCAAAGCCTGCGCCCGCCGGCCTTCATGAACCCCTCCACGGTCTTCCCCTCGGGCAGAACGACAGAGAGCGCCTGGCAGCAGCCGTCTGTGTCTCATGTGGTCCACCAGTTGTAGGTCCAGTGTAGGGTTCCGAAGTTTAACGAGAGGCTTCGGCATTTGGGCCAAACAACAGAAGTAGCAACATTCCCATACCTTCGAACCTCACCAAACCCGGGCAACAAACCAAGAGGATCCATCCCAATCTCCCACCTGGCCTCGCCGTTCGAGTTGAGGATGGATCGCAGCTCACTCAGAGAAATCACGCCGTCGTTGTTCCTCACAGGTTTTGGGCGTGAAGATCTTGCAGTGTTTTTTAATGTTGCTAATGTAGGAATGTTGCTAATGGAGGGGCCTTAATAATTGGAATAGGGTTTTGGGGTATATTGATGTCACAATCATCATAAGGAACCCCCAAAATTAGTATAGGTAATTATTCAGGCCCCTATATTAGACTGATTAATATAAGGCTCCTGTAGGGGCTTCATGCTTCAGGGCTTTAGGGCTTCATGGTTGGTTTTCATCCAGACCCCGCTTCCCTAAACCCTAAACCCTAAACCCTAAACCCTAAACCCTGCCCCCGCTTGGGGTTGAAAGACTCCGGGCTTTTGGGCCTTCGTGCCTGTGAGGGAAGGCCCTTTTGCGAATTTAGAGCTAGAAATCTCGGGGTTCACTGCGACTTTTGTCTGCCTAAGGTTTTTTAGGGCTTAGGGTTTTAAGCTGTTTTAGAGCTTCGAGTTTTGAGGTTGGGGCTGAGGGAGCCACCACCTCTTTCTTGCGCCGAAGGGCACATCGAAGACGTGAAAGGCGTGGAAGAGGGCGCTCTCGATAAGGCCCATGTGGGCGTCGAGGCAGCCGGCGATGAACTCCGAGTAGTCGACCTGTGCGCTAACTTGGAGTTGCGCTTAGGGGGTTTCCAGAATGCAACAAATCACGACATCGACCTTGAGAAATGTGCTGCATTACGGCGGAAAACGAGAAAGCTCTTGGTGCCCAGGGTCTTGGAGTGTTTCTTGCCTGGTTGAAACTCAGAATACCCTTTCCCTCGAAACCTCAAGCCTTCACTCCGAGCCGAAAAGCCTAAACCTATAAACCTATCAACCTATAAGTCCTTCGCTGGCTCCAACTGCCGAAGGTTTGAAGGCTTATGCCTACAAATAGCAAGTCACAACCTACTACTCAGTTGTAGGCTTTGAGGCTGAAGGAACCCAAATCGCCAATGCCTCAACTCCTTGCAGAGGAGCTGCATTGCCACTGTGGTCCATGTCCAAGGAGTCCACCAAGGTTTCGATGGAATCCGGGTCCAGGACCTGCCTCCGAGGGTTTCTTGGGATTTAACGGCTTTAGGAGTTAAGGGCATAAGGCTTTTCGGGATTTCGGGGGGTTTATGGCCTTAGTCTTGGGCTGTGGCTTTAGGGTTCAGGGTGGTTGTTTTCCTTTGGTGAGCTCCTGCTTCCGCCGGACTCTCGAACTTTAGGGTCCATAGAATTGAGAGGTTTGAGGGGTTGGAGCTCTAGGGTTTTGAGGTGCTGCACAAGCTCAGGGTCTTTCGAGCGCGCTGCGAGGATGTTTATGACACCTCTGACTTCCAGCGGGCCGGAAATAGTGGTAATTTCTGATATTTCAAGTATTCAGGCTGTTAAGTTGCACAATAAGCAGAAGCACTTGCAGGTCGTGGGCCTTCGTTGGCCAAAAAACTCGCAACTTGGGTTCAGGATTTGTGGTTTAGGAGTCAGGGTTGAGGACTCAGCATCTAGGAGCCGCAGGGGTGACGGTTCCGGTGTTCCTAACTTCTGGTTCGGGAGGTGTGGCGCCGGGGCCGCAAAAGACGTGGGACGATGCAGGAAGAGGGCCCTGCGGTTGATGAATTCTGGCATATTCCTTATATTCCTTACTATGGGTAATGCAGGATTATATCATCAACCGTATTGCGGGTGGAAGCAATGTCAGAGCATGGGCAGGTGCCCTTGTCTAGCCCTCAAAAAAATTTTGCACTTGAACACAGGGGTTTCGAGCCTCAAGCCGTTCTTGAACTCTATCACGGACAGGTGACCATTTCCTGACACTGCCAACTGGGTACAGAAATCAATGACCTCATGGAATACTTGGTCTGCTGCTTGGATTTGTAGTTTAGGGCTCAGTTGTTGGTTCTCCTGCTGCTGGGCTTGATATTGCTGTGCTTTGATGCTGAACCAAGAAAGTAGCGGCTTGGCTTTTTTACAGAACTGTCTTATGTAAGCGCTTCAAAACATAGCTGTTCACTACAGCCCGCCCAAAACCCCACACCCTAGTTTTGAAAGCTGGCAAGTCAAGCGTTGGCGAAGCCGAGAGCCTACCCAAATCCGACCACCGTGGCCCAAACAAAGTCCCGCGGGAAACCAGCTACTGTACTCCAAAACCCAGTAATGGAAACTAGAATGCAGTCAACTCCTAAGGGATGCCTGGAGGTTTACGGGTACGAGAATCAAGGGACATTCCAAACTCAGGGCTCAGGAGTTTGGGGATTTGGGGCATCGCACAGGATCCAGTGCTGAGAACTGCACCGAACCCAGGGATGCCTCTGGATCTACTGGCAATTGAGGCGAATCCGAACAGAAGCATTTGCGGAGCGTCGGTCAGCGTCCAGCTCCTCAAAAAAGGCCGTAAGGTCATCCTCGCAGTTTGTGATTGAAACATGCTTCTTGAAGGGTGGCTGCAGAGGCTGGTTTGAGGGCTCAGAGTTTAAGAGGTCTATGGGGAGATGGGGGCTTCCAAACTTAAGGGGTTAGGGTCCAGCGAGGATTTCGGGCTTTGATGTTTCGAGCATAAGGCGCGGAAAGCTCATAGACAAACGTCTCGCAACACATCCCCTCAAAACAGCAACCAGAAGCTGTGTAGAATCCAAGGCCCCGAACCCTCCGGCGTTAACCCGAGGTCTCACACAAGCCGCGAAAATATGAAAGGCCAGGGAGCTAGCTTGGAGGTGTCCAACTGGCTCGCTGCACAGAGGTACACCGCCTGGGAAGGGAGAGAAATCTTGACAGCGACGCAAACCAAGGCCCGACATCATCGAAACTGGGCTTGTGACTAGAGTATGCTCGGCCTGTTCTGTGGACTTTTCGTCGGTTATGACGGTTATGACTGAAGCTTCTATCGGGTGACTTTGAAAATTGAGAGGGCGTAAAATGAAGGTGTGTGGTCTGGTGTAGAATGCTTTTTCCCGTGCTTGGCGTCGGTGCCCTGAACGCTTGACTGACGCAACTGCTGCTTTTTGATGAGACCCGACTGCGCTAATGCAGGGGCCTCTATAGTCAGAATAGGGTCTCGAGCGTTATTCTCGCACAGTTATCTAAATCTCCACCTTGGAACCCTATAAGAGATATCACTACTCACCACCCATCTTTCTATCTTTCTTCCTACCGGCCACATCTTTTCTCAGTTTTTTTGTCCCCGGGAAGGTGCGCCTTGGAGAAGGTACTTTTTGAACCGAAGCCGATCATGGAGGCGACGTCGTGCTGGGCGAGGTCGGGCCAGCTCATGTCGCGGTGCGCCTGCACCAAGCGGGGTTAGGGTTTAGGGTTTTGGGTTTAGGGTTTTGGATTTTGGGTTAAGGGTTTAGGGTTTAGGGTTTTGGGGTTTAGGGCGCTTAAGAGTCTTTAAGAGGGGCTTAGTAGAGACCCCAATATACGTTTAAAGTATATTAGTAGGAACCCTAATATATTCTAAGAAATCTAAGGTGTATTCCTTAATTAAGGGCTTGTGGGGTCTCTGGATTCGGGACTTGAAGCGGTTTAAGGGTCTTTGGAGGGCTTGTTAGACTCCGAAGGTCTTAGATGTAGGGCTTTAGGATCCTAGGGCTTGCATACTGCGTCAGTGATCAGCCGCATCGGGGCAGCGAGGTTCCACTTGAAGATTCAGCTGTCCACCTTCCAAGAACTGCACCAAATTTCTCTTTGCGTCCCCTTCCATTCGCCACGAACTCCAACAAAGAACTATCAAAACGCGATCAACAAATCAAGTGCCCCCAAACTGCCGCCTCCTCAGCGCTCGGCCGCAAGGTCTCCTGTTTGGTCAACAGCCAGGAGACGAAGGTGCAAGCAGCCTCCACCACCGCGGGTTTCCGGGCTTCGGGCTCTGCGTGGTTTCGGATTTTTAGTTTCTGGATTCTAGGTTGGTGGCTTAGGGTTGTGAGATGTTGCAGGGCTTATGGGATCTAGGGCTTCGGCTCATATTACGGAGACTGGTGTTTTTTTTTCAATTTCCGGGCCCTGTAACCTGCCTCCGGCTCGCGACCCTCTGGACTGGGGATCAGGGCTAAGGCCTCCGGTTTACAGCTTCAAGCTTCTGCCGGCATGCCCGTCCACTACTGCATCACGCAACGGGCTTAATAATTACCTATACCATGCTGTGGGTTCCGTTTTATGATTATAGTATAACATATATGCCCCGAAACAACAGTCCCTTCCGAATGTCCGACATATCGGAAGAACATGCAGAGGTCAACCCCGCGGGGCTTGGCTGGCGCCAGCCGCCCGCACCGCCGAAACATCCACGGGGTCAGGGTCGTAGCAGGTGGAAACCTTGCGCGCTGAAGCAAAGTTGGATTGCAGGGCTGGAGGCTCCAGCTAATAACTTCTGAGATTCTGATACTATGCTGTAGCTCGCTCCCCTGTCACTTTTCTTACATCACAGCATCGTCTGCCACATGCTTTCCTCGCAGAGGTATACTGCTCCAATAGGGACGAAGAACCTGACAATCCTGCTCGAACCCCCAGGAATTACCCTCGCGCAGACCGGGCAAGAGGAGTGCAAAGTTCAACTTCTAAACCACCACGCCTTTAGGATCTAGAGCTTAGGGTTTAGGGTTTAGGCGGTTTAGGGTTTAGAGGACACCCTCAACCCAGAGATAAGTGCAATAGCCTCAAACAAGTAATACTCAAGAAGTTGTAGGGTTCTGAGTCCTAGTACGATTGAGGCCCAAAAACAACGGACCGACACAAAACCCAACCTTACCCCCCCCCCCCCAAACAGCCTAAACCCAACCTACAACCCAGAAGAACAGAGGAGACGCCAGGCACTCCTGCTAGGGCCTTCGTAACTTAATAGTTAGAATCAGGTTTTGGAGTTCATTATAGTATACATATATATATATATACCAACAACTTAAGAGTCAGAATAAGGTTCCGGGGTCCATTATAGTAACTTAATAATTACAATAGGATTTTAGGGTTCATTATGGTATATAATAAAATATAATATAACATAATATAATATAATAAAATATAATATGATATAATATAATATNNATAAGATAATATAATATAATATAGTATAAGATAATATAATATAATATAGTATAAGATAATATAATATAATATAGTATAAGATAATATAATATACTATAATATAATATAATATAATATAATATACTATAATATAATATAATATAATATAATTGTATATAATATAATATAATAAAATATAATATAATATAATATAATATAATATAATATAATATTATATTATATAATATAATATAATATGATATAATATAATA